AAAAAACAGCATAAACAAAGTATAAAACACAAATTATACATGGGAGAAATATTTGCAATGCATATAACAGAGAAAAGGCTAATGTCCCTGATATATAAAGAGTGTCTACAAATCAGTAAGAAAAAACAACTCAACAGAAAATTGACACAAGATATGAACAAACAGTTCTCAAAAGCAGAAATATAAGCTGAGCATGATGGCACACACCTATGTTCCCAGTTTCTCCAGAGGTTGAGACAGGAGAATTACTTGTGCCCAGGAGTTCGAGGCCAGTCTGGGCAACACAGCAAGACTTCCTCTCTATGAAGTATAAAAAATGTTGTCTGGGCACGGTGGTTCATGTCTGTAATCCCAGCACTTTGCGGGGCTGAGATAGGCAGATCACCTGAGGTTAGGAGTTCGAGACCAGCCTGGCCAACATGGTGAAAGCCCATTTCTAATAAAAATACAAAAATTAGCCAGGCGTGGTGGTGGGTGCCTGTAATCCCAGCTACTTGGGAGGCTAAGACAGCAGAATCTCTTGAACCCCAGAGGAGGAGAATCTCTTAAACCCAGGAGGTGGAGGTTGCAGTGAGCTGAGATCCTGCCACTGCACTCCAGCCTAGGCAACACAGTGAGACTCTATCTGAAAATAACAACAACAATAATAACAATAACAATAATAATAATAATAATAATTCAGCTGGGTGTGGTGGTGCACATCTGTGGTTCCAGTTACTCAGGAGACTGAGGCGGGAGGATCCCTTGAGCCCAGAAGGTTGAGGCTGCAGTGAGCTGAGATGGCACCACTGCACTCCAGGCTGGACAACAAAGTGAGACCCTGTCTCAATAAATAAATAAATAAAGATAAAATAGAAATGTGCAGATGAGGAACAAAAAGAGACTGACATTCTTCCATATTCCCTTTCCTATCTTTTGAAAGTTGTGCTATTTGTATTAATTACAAACAAAAACAAAACAATTCAGTTTCAACACCAGAGGAAAAAAAAAAAAAAGGAAAAAAAAAAAAAAAAAAAAAAAAAGAGAAAAAGGAAAAAAAGAAACAATGCTAACACACAATTTAAAAAATTTAAACATTTAAAAAATTAAGAGAGACTCCTACTATTTATTGAGCACCTAGTGTGTACCAGGAGGCTGTGCTAGGCACTCTGTAGACATCTTGATTAACACAAACACTGCAAGAAAAATACATTATTCCCATTTTATAGGTGGAAACGTATTGAAGAATGTGGAAAACCTGCCAGTGGCTGGGTGTGGTAGCTCACACTTGTAATCCTAGCACTTTGGGAAGCCAAGGCAGGAGAATGGCTTGAGGCCAAGAGTTCAAGACCAACCTGGCCAACATAGTGAGACCCCCGTCTCAGAAAAAAAATTAAAAAATATGGCCAGGCGCGGTGGCTCATGCTTGCAATCCCAGAACTTTGGGAGGCCGAGGGGGGCAGATCACTTGAGGCCAGGAGTTTGGGACCAGACTGGCCAACACGGTGAAACCCCAGTCTCTACTAAAAATACAAAAAAAATTAGTCAGGCATGGTGGCAGGCGCCTGTAATCCCAGCTACTCGGGAGGCTGAGGCAGGAGAATCGCTTGAACCCAGGTGGCGGAGGTTGCAGTGAGCCAGGATCACACCATTGCACTCCAGCCTGGGCAATAAGAGTGAAACTCCCTCTCAAAAAAATAAATAAATAAAAAAGAATAATTAAAAAAATTAATTTGAAAAAGTAAAAGAAAACCTGCCAGAGGCCACAGAGCTAGTAAATGTGAGTGACATAGCAAGGTTTGAACTCGCTCTTGCCAAGAAGGGTGTCATGCTGGACCCCCAAGCAGGCAAGCTGGGAGGGTACCACCTTGGAGAAACCAAAGAAAAGACCCAGAGACAGCAGGCGAGACATGAGCTTTATTCAAGGGACTTACGCACAGGGGGAAGTCCAGGAGAGGCAGTTGGACAGGAGCAACCGCTGCTATTTGTGAAAAGCATGCAAGTTATGTAGAAATCTTTACATTGCAACTTTTGTTTGTTTGGTTGGTTGGGTTTTTTTGAGACAGAGTCTCACTCTGTTACCCAGGCTGGAGTGCAGTGGTGCAATCTCAGCTCACTGCAACCTCTGCCTCTCAGGTTCAAGCGCATCTCCTGTCTCAGCCTTCCGAGTAGCTGGGACTACAGGTGTCCTCCACCAAGCCCAGGTAATTTTTGTACTTTTAGTAGAGTCAAGGTTTTGCTCTGTTGGCCAGGCTGGGCTTGAATTCTTGACCTCAAGTAATCTGCCCACCTTGGCCTCCCAAAGTGCTGGGATTATAGGCGTGAGCCACCACGCCCAGCCCAAAACCTTCACATTGCAACTTCCATCTAGCAACCTCTACTTAGCAGCCTCCACCTACCTCAAAACAATGGACCTCTGTTCCTTGTACAGACTGTGTTCCAAGTAATGGGCCAGGGGCCTGATGTTCTTCATAGTTAAACGGAATTAAACATCCAGGTTGGCCGTTCCCAGGGTCCATAGCTTGGAACACTGAACAAACATCACCAAGAGACAGAAGGTCCTTGCCAGGCCATGCTTGAGTTGTTGGTGTCTGGCAAGATGTGCCCACCATACAAAGGCGCTGGATGAACTAAAACGGGTCCTTATTCCTGGTTTGTTTCCCACCCTCCTCAGCCCAGGGAAGGCCCCCCATGAGGCCAGAGTCTGAGCTACTCTGGGAGAACAGGAAGGGCCCACACAGGGGGTGCCTGGAACCACCAAGGAGCCACATGGGCCCCCAGGCCTGGGGTCGGAGAGGTTGATGGTGTGGGTTGGGGCAGCCCAGGACACCTGGACTGGCCTTGGGGCATTTCCTGAGCACTCTCAGAAGTATCTGCCCCTTCCCAGGAAGGGGGCAAAAGCCACCCTGGAGACCCCAGATGCTGGGCTCTGACTTAGAAACCACTCCACTCCTGGACTGTTAGCTTCGCTGACCTCAGAGCCCAGGCCTGAGTCCAGCTCGTCCCCATCCATGGAGGCCCCAGGATGACCTCTGACCCCTACGTTTTCCCACGGCCCTTACTTGGCAACCTGGCCTCTGGTTGGGGTCACATCCTGGACCACCAGGGGCAGGAGCGTGGTCAAGGGCACAGGGCCCCACTCCTCATCTACCTTCCTACCTGGGCCCCCTCCCCCTCTCCCCAGCATGGCCAGCCCACTGCCCTCCAGTGCCCTTAGTTCTGGGCCCAGGGCCAGGTCCAAATGTGCTCTGAGTCAGGGTAGGGATCACTCATTCCCTTGCCCCGCTCTCCTCCCATAGAAGATCTGGTTCTGGGGCCAGTTTACCACCTCAAGCCCAATCTGGGCAGACCCAGGTGGGGATGGTTGGGGAAGCCAGGCTCCTTCTTCTGCATGACAAAGGGTGGGGCTGCCCTCCCTCCTGGCAACACTTCAGACCATTGTAAACAGTCTCCCAATCCACATTCGCTTTCTTTTTCTGACCTCTGGCTAGCGTTGCCAGATGTGACAAATAAGGGCGAGGTGGCTCAAGCCTATAATCCCAGCACTTTGGGAGGCCGAGACGGGCAGATCACGAGGTCATCAGATCGAGACCATCCTGGCTAACATGGTGAAATCCCGGCTCTACTTAAAAAAAAAAAAAAACTAGCCAGGCGAGGTGGCGGGCGCCTGTAGTCCCAGGTACTCGGGAGGCTGAGGCAGGAGAATGGTGTAAATCCGGGAGGCGGAGCTTGCAGTGAGCGGAGATCCGGCCACTGCACTCCAGCCTGGGCAACAGAGCGAGACTCCGTCTCA